CGTTTTGCCCAGGGGCCCACACAACCCATAATCCGTCCCTACATCTGTGCCATGCTGTAGGAGGACACTCTGTACTCGTCGTAGGCCACTAGCCTATCTCCAAGGTCACAAGTGCATGCCTAGGCCCCTCTGTGTTTGTGGGAGGTTCTTAGACAGGGAAGTCACATCTGATTGGCTGTTAGAGCTTGCTGCATTCTCTCTCACACAGACACACACAAACACATAGACCTGTACTCATAACTTTGTGGGGACTGTCCATTAATATCTATGGGCAAAACCCTAATCCCAAAATGACAACCTTAACCCCTACCCAGCCTTAACCGTAACCATAAGTACTGTAAGCAAACAAAAAAATGGTCCCCATAATGTCGAAATTACAGGTCCCCACAATGTAATGTGTATCTGACTCCCACATACAGTACATGCACACACACACACAAGCACAATGGACTGCATTGTACTGCAGAACAAAGCTGCCTCATGACTTGCAAATATAGCCCCCCCCAACACCCCCCCCCAAACAACCCAAGTAATGGACCTGCTTGCACCAGCTCGCAAACGACGATAAATGACCTGCGGAAGGTGTGTATGTGTGTGTGTGTGGGGGGGGTGTGTTGAGGGGGGTGGCACATAAAGTGGAAGGCAGAAGAATGGGGGAAGAGAGCTCTCGGCTCCCAAACAGACTGGAGCACGGGTCCACTGTGACAACTGACCACACAGCAAGATGTCGTTATCTTAGCTAAAACGTCATTTTTACTGCTGAATTGTGGAAAAACCCAAGACTTCAGCCTCCTCGGGCTGGTGTGTGAATCACTGTGCCTGGTACGCTACCTTTAGCAGGGATAGTAAAGCGTCACATGAACTGTGACTTCACTGCACCAGTCTGGGTCCCAGTGATCCTGCTGCCTACACGAAGGTCGCTGTCAGAGCCCTGGCTGCATTCTCTCCACTGATGTGCTGACTGCATCTGTGCAGCACTTCCTGTTCTTGTTGTCCCTCCAAGAAATGGACCAATTTCCTCAGCAAAACCTTATTATGTTCTGACACAGCCTCGTCTAGGGCCTTATATGGCAAATGGATCTTTGTTTAAGTTTCAGTAGGATGGGTTCCTCTCTGTCAAATCCCAGCAGATGAAACACTTGTGTTGTTTGAGTCACTATTTTAGTACTCTGCCAAGTCTGAGTGGCTCAGTAGCTGTCACCTCACCCCTCCAGGGTTGCAGGTTCGAATGGCACCTCTCCTCTGTGTGAGGTTTGCATGTTCTCCCTGTGTCGAGACAGTGTCCTCCAGTAGACTAAAGACATGCAGTCAAGCTGACTTTGAATTGCCCAGTTTGTATTTGTGTGCCCTGAGAGGGGCAGCCCTCTTGTCTGAGGTGGAACCCATCCTTGTGTCCTATACTGTCTGGATAGGCTGTCTGGAAAAGTGCACCCGACCATGATGAGTGGTTGGAAGATCGATAGGTGATTAAGAATCCACCTGTGTTCAAGTCACACACAAACATGTTGGTGACATGGTGTGCTTTATCTAGAGAATTAACATTATGGAGGTTATCTCCCCCCCCCCCAATCTCTTTGAAACTTGCCGCAGTTTGACTCCTATTTAGACATTCTTGTATTTCAAAGATCTCATTATGAAGAACCTTGAAAAACTAGCGCGGGTCAAAGCTATTATGTTCTTAGAAAATATGTAGATCCTGGTCACCATACATTGACATTCCAGTACCGTCCCTGGAGGTTTTAATTTACATTATTCTCTTTTATGCACCAGCATTCGCCTTATTGAAATTCCACATTCAGACGAGTCTCAGAACTCTACACACTTCTCATAGGACGCCGTGGCCCAGGTGGTCCCCTGTAGATACAGAGTGATGCTGAAAATGGTAATTTAGCGCTGTGCCGTCTGCTTGGAGGGTGGTGTGTTTGCTGATGCATGAGGACAAGCAGTCAATCTCATTCAGTGATGTAAAGAAATCAGGCCTTTGGCTGTCAGTGTAACCGGGTTAATATAGTCAGCGGGATGCATGAGGTCACTGCTGGGGGTTATGCAGTACTCCAGGAGAGCTTTGAGGTGCATTTCGTCTCTGTAGCGTCTCACTGCAGAGTGTTTGATCCATGCAGCATCTCTGTTTTCTGCAGTGTGTTTAGTCACTGCAGTGTCTTCGATCCATGTGGCGTCTCTTATTTTTGCAGTGTGTTTAGTCAGTGCAGTGTGTTTGATCCATACCGCATCTCTGATTTTCTGTAGTGTGTTCAGTCACTAAAGTGTGTTTGATTCATGCAGTGTTCCTGATTTCTGCAGTTTGGTTAGTGACTGCATAATGAAGGTTGATTGTGACTGTGACTGACTGTGGTTGATTCATTCAATGAAGCTGACTGTGGTTGAATTACATGATGAAGCAGACTGTTATGCTGTAGCAGAATGAAGTGGATTGTTGTTGATTCATATAATGAAGCTGACTGTGGTTGAGTTACATAATGAAGGTGACTCGTGTTGTAGCAGAATGAAGCTGACCGTGGCTAATATACATAATGAAGCTGACTATTATGTGGCAGCAGAATGAAGCTGAACTAAATTTAACAGTGAAGCACATCAGAATTAAGAGGATTTGGATCACAAAATGACCTTGGTTTTGCTTAGGTTACAGATTGAAGCTGATTATTGTCATTGTCAAATGAAGCTGGTTAATATAAGGCAGCAGAGTCCAGGTTTTAATGCAGTATGACCTCAGAAGGAAGTGGATTATCCCTGGGCATCCAAGCGAAACGCCCTGCATCTGGCAGCCAGCCAGCATCATTTGATCAGCCGGGCGGCTGCATTGCTGACTCTGCTGATTAGTATTCTGCCCCCCCCCCCCCTTGTCCACCTCGCTGGCAGCGCTGCAAACTGGATGCATCCCAGGTACCTGGCCAGAGAGTTCTCTCCGACCCCGTCCGAGAAAATCCAATGAGACTCTAAATGGCCGATGAGATCCTGGAGAGTGACATCACATGCAGATGGATGGGAGGGGTTAATCTCTTCTTTAGCTAAGTTCAAGGCTATTGAGCTACAGAATTTGATGCACTTTGGGGTGGGTTAGTGAGAAGAAGGACTCGCCCCTCCATCAAGCATAAAATAAAGGGGCACCCCCAGCCCCCCCATGCCTGCCCTGTCCCCAGGCAAGCTGTGTTTCATCCTTGTCCCAAACTCAACTACAGGATTTATGTATTCCAGATCTTCACTGGCCTCTTCTGCCTCTGTCATTTTGGAAAACAGAAACCCCTCTGATTATGACACCAATATTCACAGACCTTGGATGAGTCGTTGCTCCGACAGCGCTTTCGGGTTTTTAATCAGAGTCCGTCTGGCAGGATCACTCCCTGCCTTGTCCTCTTCTGTTCACTGTTTCCCTGTTTGCCCAGCAGCTGCTGCTGGCCATCTCCTTCTTCCCTGAGTTCCTTTAGGCTTTGTACCTTTCACAGGTGTGTTTTGCCAGGTGTCTCCGGCTGCTCCATGGCTGAATGGGCTGTGCATGTGGCTGTGAATCTCCACTATCATGGGTTGACATTTGGTTTTGTTTCCCTCATGTTAATTATCTTCTCGTGTTCATGTATTTCAGTACTGATCTCTGCTTTGGTATCTTTGTTCTTGGTTAGTCCTGCTTGTGTCTAGTTTTATAGTCATGTCCAATTTCCACTGTCTTCCAAGTACCTCCTAGTGGTTGAGTCCTTAGTGCTTGTTTATGACCCTCGCCTGTTTTTTGTAGCTCCTAATCCATAGTGTTTGAGTTAAGTGTTAATGATCCACACCTGCACCTTGTTGATCACCTTCTTCTTGGCGGAAATATGCCTGCCCTTGCCTTATTCCTCTGTTGCTTATTGCATCTAAGCATCTAAGTGTTACCCGCCTCTACTTGCCTGTGTTTCCGTTAGACGTTACCCCCACTGAAGACCCCATTCTAAGTCCATGTGTTTTCCTCTGCATTTCCTTGTGTTGAGTTTAAATCTTTGTGAGTTCGAGTATTATTTACCAGCCTTCGTTTAGATGCCTCTTGGTCCTGTTTGTTTCAAGTTGCTTTGAGTTCAGTTTAAAAATAAAGTTCGCTGTGTTTGTAGGCCGTTTTGTGGATCACAGCCCAGCGTGCCCCATCTTGACATTGTGGCGCCAAGCGGCGTTCCGTATTGGCACGCTCCAAACGAAAGTGCTGTCGGTTCATTCGCCGTGTAATAAATCAGATGCCAGGCCCCAGGGTTACGATGCGCCTAATAGCCAAGATGTTATGATGATTTTCTGCATGAATCAAAACAAACAGATTAATGTATGTCCCCGTGTATTGGAATAGGGGATATTTCAACTTCACATCGACATTAAGGGTCAATCCTGCCTGAATCATCCTGAATTAGCATTGGCAAGTAGCTGCAGATCGCCCACAAGTCGGCAGTGTTATTTTATTAAGTTTTCCCGGAACGGGCTTCTTGTTTCCGCCTTCGTGTGTCAGGTGAGTCACCCCAGAGCTTCCGTGAGGATGTGCTGATGTTTGCTTCATAGTGCTATTGTGCTCTACAATCATTGGCAGTCAGCTTCCGGTAGTCAGAATTCCGGGAGCAATTGGTATGTAAACAACATGCAGAAGCCCTCTAATCCTTCTCTGTATGCATTTGCTGAAATATTTTCAGCAGTATTATGTGAGAAATAGTTTCAGTCAAGTTTTCTTTTTAATTTTTGATTAAAATAGAGCATAAATGGGACTTGTTGTAGGTTCTCACTACTGTGGTGTTTAGCAAAGCAACTTTACTCTCAGCGGTAAACATTATGCTGTAGCGAAGTAAGAATTTGAATGTACAGAAATGGTCAACATTCTACCTGTCGGTAACCTTGACAACCTGTATCCACCAAAACTCACAGTTGACAGAGAATTTGTGCCAGGTCCAGCACTTAAGAGCAGAGAGAGGCTGAAGTCTACAGACCTTGAGGAATTTCATGTTTATCATCTTCCATGACCTTCTGCTTTACCTCCTTAGATTGACAAGATCATGGACCTGATTGGTGCTGGAATCGAATTCTCCAGGGAGGTGTCACCCACCACTGCCGGTATGTTGGTTTGGTGTTTCTCTCTCTCTCTCACACACACACACACACACACACACACACACACACACAGACAGACAGACAGACAGACAGAGAGAGAGAGAGAGAGAGAGAGAGAGATACACACATATGTTTGTATTCATATCTTTGTGGGGACAGCCCATTCATTTCTATGGGAAAAACCCTAATCCCAACAATGACTCCCTTAACCCCTATGTAACCCCTACCCAACACTAACCTTAACCATAAGTAACTAAACAAAATACAAAACTTTGTCACTTTTAGTTTTTGATTGCAGTCTCAGATTTTTATAAAATTTCCCTTGTAGGGACTGAAAAGGTGGTCCCCACAATGTAAAAATAGCAGGTTTTTGTCACATCGTGGAGACATTTGGTCCCCACAATGTAATATATACATGACCAGATGCACACTCCCCCCCCCCACACACACACACAACACAATCATTCATCAGGGAGGGCTTCCCTCCATTACCTTTATATATATATATTATATATATATATATATATATATATATATATATATACTTTTCTCTCTTGCGCACACAGAGGGAACACTGCAGGGTGAGTCATATTCCATCATATTCCACCACAAACACTCCCAGAAATATCTACACCTCTGGACGATAACAGATGTCCCAGTAACTCCTGGAATGTCACAATATGAAAGATCAGGTGATTTATGATAATCATGCAAAAAATGACCAAATCCCCGCTATGGTAGGTAAATCAATTTAGCTAATTCGTGTATTTTAGGTCTCAGTGGTACCTTCTTATTCCCCACATTGGGCATATTTTTGTACTGTAGTAATTCCAGTCAGTTTTCACCTTCATTTAAATCAACCCATTACTTTTCTTTGACTGTCTGACTCTAGCTGACACACTTGATATTAAAATATTTTTTATGTGCTGGATATGAGAAAGTGTAGATTTGCATTTATCTGTAATGTGTATTTTATTTTGTTTTAGAATAGGCAAAGGGAACATTCTATCCATTTAGCTGACTAGGAATGGGTAGATTAACAAAAGAGTATACATCAGCATGCCAAAACATTACGACCACCCACAGGTGAAGTGAATAATGTTGACTATCTCATAAAAACAGTGCGTGTTCAGACCTGGGCTGTAATAGATGGTAAGCTAGCATTTGGTACTCATAGTCGACTTGTTGAATGCATTTTGAAGAAATGGGCAGGGATAAAAATCTGAGTGATTTTGACAAGAACTAATTTGTTATAAAGAAAAGACTGTGTCAGTCTTAACTCAAACAGTCTCTGAAACAACAAGACTTGTTGGGTGTTAACGGTCAGCCATGGAGAGTACCCAGCAACAGCGGTTTGAGGAGGAAAAAACCACGAACCACCAACAGGGTGTTGGGCACCGAGACTGATCGAAGTGAGATGTGACTGAAGGGTATCCCGTCTGGTACAAACCAACAGAAGGGTACAAATGGAAGATAATTTTGATGATCATCATGGGAATAATGTGACAAGACAACACGCAGTGTGTGAAACCCTGCGGCATATGGGGTTACTTAACTGTGGATTGGACTTGTTGGTCTAACATGATACACATGATACAACAAAACAAGATTCACCCATGTGACTTTCTTCCAGTCCCGTCCCGTCACTTGTATTACCATCGTAGGAGCTTTCGATAGTGGACAGGGGTTAACATCGGCACTCTGACTGGTCTGCGGCCACATAGCTCTATATTCAGCAGGTGATCAGATTAGCCCTTCTGTTGGTTTCTGCCAGAGGGCATAGCCGTCGTTCACATCCCACATTGATGTGGCTTTGTGGTTTTGCCCTCCTCTGATCACTACCAGTGGGTGCTCACCACGGTTGACCACAATCACCCCACAAGCCTTGCCGTTATTAGAGATGTTCTGACCCAGTTCTCTAGCCATAATGATTTGGGCCCCAGTCACTCAGATTTTTACCCCTTCCCATTTTTGCAGCATTCAACATGTCGACTGAGGGTACATAATGTTAGATTACTGTCTAATATATTCCAGACCTTGATATACACCAACATTGTTCGCGTCACATGGGTGTGGTCACAATGCTTTGGTTCATTGGTGCAATTTCCTGTAGTCTTGTTTTCATTGGGTTACCTTCCTGTCATCAGGTTCATCGTGAATGCAGTTCTGAAAACTACCAATTTTTTGTAGTGTGCAGCGTACAAGGAACAGTCATTATTTTTACTTTACCTGACAGTCTATCAAGTTTAAATTATTGATCTTGCTGAAATTGTGCTGAATCATTCAGTTTGACGTCACGTATTTATGTCTTGTTTATGCTCAGGCTTTGATGTACTGCTGGGAAATATTCACGCTCCTTCCTCAGTTTTTCGGCCCTCAGCTCTTGAATTTTTCAGCTGGTACTTGATCGTAGGAATTAAATTAAATCAATAAGCCAGTAATCCATTGCACTAATTGGGCATATTTTTAGGTCTTTGATTGCTTATGTAGAAGACCACACTCCACTGAGGGGTAACCCCCACTGTTACTGTACATCTGCCTGCTCTCTGTCTGCAACTTTGCTGGCCTCTCGCTACTGCCCCCTACTGCCGGTGTGGTCCAAGACCCTAGTGATAATGAGGCTGTGGAGGCTCTTGACTTTCTGCATTCTGCAGGTGTAGCTTTGAACATGCAGGCATCCTTTTCCGGTTCTTCAGTTCGCTGCTTGCTCGGGGTTGAATGTCTTGAATGAACCTCCTTTTGGACATAGTAGTGATTGATTTTCCTTTTTGCATTACATATAAAGTATAGTATAGCAGTAAATGTTAGTAGCACAGTCAGCTGATAGAATTTATGTTTACCTTAAGAGGTATGAAAAATTTTCATTTGGAATGGCCAAGCAATAATGATGAGAAAGCGTGTTGTTCTTATTTAGTCTGTGAACCAGAGGTGAAGATCATGCAGCGATTGTGAGATTCTTCCCTGTAAAGATACCCCTGTGAGATGCCCTTGACCATTCCTGGTCATTCACACGCACTGCATGCTGCACTGGATCCCTCTGCCTCAGCATCTCAGTCTGTAAACCGCTTTTGCATTCCCCAATATCACAATCTCATGGTCTTAGCGTCATCAAAGTCTTAACGTTTCAGTCTCAGTCTTACAGTCTCACAGTCTCAGTCTTGCAGTTTTGTATGCTTGCAGTGTCAGTCACATGATCTCACCTTCTCCGTTTCTCAGTGTCACAGTTACAGTCTGACAGAATACGAGTCTCATAGCCACAGAGTCTGAAAATCTCACAGTCTATCTTACAGAACCTCACAGTATCAGTCTACAGCTGAGCACTGCTTCCAACATCATATAGTTCTTTTATAAGAAATCTCCTTTTGATTCATGGTGCCGCTGTATTACAAGCCTGGGCAATTTAAAAAGCTCTCAGGGTATGACCTCTCAGGGCACTCTTTGGTTTGCAAATGTCAGACACAGAACAGGTGCCCGGAAGCTTCCACTGGATGACTCACTTTTGCGTGAAGCGTTGCATCCACTCACATGTGAAGTGATACGCCTTACTCAGAGCCAGGACCTGAGCTTGTGGCCCATAAAACCAGTTTGACTGGTTGTGCTTGGTTGGCAAGCCCTGCACCTCCCACCGGCGGCCCCGATTCAGACCTGGCTCCGCCCCTGCTCCCCCCGTAGTCGCCGGCAGCAGCGAGGCACCTTGACCCAGTTAAACAGCTGGTGAAGTGACCCAGCTCCCCTCCCGGGGTGCTGAGTCCCGCCCCGCTGTAATTGGGTGCCACTTTTCCGTGTGATGTGGGTGTCCCAGGCGAACCTCCAGGCCTGATGAGAATAGGCATGCCCCTGTCGCACACGCCCCCTTCTGTCCTCCCAGTGCTATTACCCAACCTTTCTTTTACCTCTTTCCTTCTCCCTTATTCTTCCCCCCTGTTCTTCGGGCTGTTTTTAATGTATAATAATAGATACGTACATATGCAATATACAGAGCATGTAATATATTTATGTTTTGCTTCATTTCCATGCCTTGCAGCTGTGTCTGCTTCCACGCTGTCTAGAGCGGCTGCCTGTAGCAGCAGCTGGATGAATCGCTTTGCTTTTTTTAATGCTTGCAGTCTGCATTTATTCCCCCAGAATCTCCCACTTAGGTAAATAAAGTATATATGTATGAAGCATCTGTCCTTCTATCATCCCTCCTTCTCTGTCTCTCTAGCTCCTGCAGTTCTCTCTCCTCCTTCTGCCGACCCCCCCACTTAAAAAGTTAATGCACAGTCCCGCCGCCCTGTGACAGAACCTGCTGTGTTGACCAGCACCCCTCCTGAGTCCACCTCGCACAGGAAGGGGGCCAGTATTGTCTCCCGAGAGCTGTGGGAGTGGCTGAGCCCCCCCCCCCCCGTGGTACTCATGTCGAGCTCATAGCACATGCAGGCTGTGCCCTGACAGTGCCCTGGATTCATGCTGCGATGAGCAGAATGCGAATTAGACGCCGACGTGAAGGTCTGCCTACTTAGGGTGGCCGATCACAGGCCCAACAGCAGTCGTGGAGAAGAATGTGCCCCTGAATTACATGGGGTAGACCTTATAAAATACAAGGTAGTGCTTTACATTAATTGTGCCTTCATAATGCCTTTATAATGCATTCATAGAACATTCAGTGCACCGTAATAATGCCTTTATAACGTATTCATAAAACATTCAGTGCCCCATCAAAATGCCTTGATGTCAGTGCACCTTTATAATAATGCATTCATATAACATTCATAAGCAGCATGTAAGTATATCGTAACATCAAGTATACCCCCCCCCCCCCCCCCCCAAACAGGCCTCCTTTCCCCTTCTGCTGGTTAATTTGGCATCATCCCATTCAGGGACTCAGTCAGGCTCACAAGCGAGAGTATCTCTCCCTGATCAATGCAGAGGGTAGTGGGGAGGGACACGGGGGGAGGAGGGGGAGGGACACGGGTCTTTTGCTGGAGAGAGCGAGAGCTTGCTCTTTTAGACAATGAACAGCAGCCCTGCAGTGAGTGAGTAAGCGAGGGAGAGAGAAAAAGAGAGAGAGGGAGGGAAGGGGGAGCTGAGTTTGCCGGCAGCGGGACTGACCGTTCGGGACGACGCAAGGACAGCTGCTTCCGTGATAGATAAGCTACTGCGCTCCAGGACAGCAGACAGGAGCGGGAGAGTAGCAGAGACCGGGCTGCATCCGGAGACCCGCGCAGGAGGCCTCCCGGGGGAGACCGGAGGACACGGCGTCTCATCCCCGTGGGACGGTGGTGTCGGGGAGGGGGGGGGGACAGCAGACTCCAGAGATGACATGTCGGCGGGCCGCGTGCAGCGAGTGCATGTAGAAGCGACCCGGCGTTCCTGCATGCATGGAGAATCTGCTCACCTTGCAGCCAGGAGGAAAGCGCAGGACCGGCGGGGGTCAGCCGGCATTTCGTTTCCCCGACATCGGCGAGGACCTGCTCTTGCGCGAGGCTCTCCTCATTGGCTCGCACCCTACCCCGTCTGAAACTCAATCCGGACGTTCCCCCGACTCTCCCCGCTACAGAGTCGACTGCGATCCCGGTAAGGGAGTTGTGGAATAACCCGAAACGGCAAGAGGACATGCGGCGCAACGCGTGACGGGGGGGGGGGGAAATCAAATTACCGTCCGCTTCAGCCTCCGAGCACCAAGGAAAGGGTTCTGGCACAGAGCGAACCCCGTTAAAAAGGCTGCTGTAAAGAGGGCAGTTACTCCAGAGCTCTGGGGAGCCGTTATAATTATCATATTAACTATGCAGGTAGTGAGGCTGCTCTAATTATAACCACTATCAATGCCTTACGCTCCTTGGCTTCCAACATACATCCTGCTTCCTGTGACACCTCGCTCACCTTGCTCTCCGTGTGGCATTAGTGGCTTGATGGTGAGGGCTTGAGAGGGCCGTGATAAGGGGCCACCGGGCCGGGATAAGGGGCCACCAGGCCGTGGCTGTCGGCGTTGCCATCTCCGGCAGATGTGGGTGCCCTCTTTTCAGCACGTGTGACCCCGTGACCCCTGGTGGATTCCCTGCTACAATTGGTTGAGGGGGGAGCTGGGCCAGACACCCTCTCCATCGTCACCTCCTCCAGAAGGCTCTGGGAGGAGAAGATAACCAGGTTTTTGCATTTATGCTGACAAGGACAGCTCTTAAGTTCTCTGCGTGGGCAACCTGAGACCTTCTTCCAATCATTGGACTACTCAGTGAGTTGGAGCCTGAACTGCTTCCTTGAACCAAAGTCCTGAATGGACACAGGTACTGAGACTCACCACAGCAGGCTGCGTGAATGATGTTGCATTTTGTTGGTCTAATGGAGGTCGGGGTGGACTGGTAGCCCAGCTCAAGCCTCTTTCTTCACCTTCCTCACCTCTGTAACGTGACTTAGCCGCCTTCAGCCAGTGCGCCTTCTGTCTTTGATTGCCCCTGGATTAATTCCAGTGGGTGGATTTCTGCCGTTTGAGTAGCTGTAGGAGAAGCAGGTGCCCTCATCTGAGCCCCGGGGGGGTATCTCTCCCTCGGCCCCTTCCTCGGAACACTGTCGCCCCTCTCCTGCTGCCAGTGCCCCTGGCCCTGCTGGTCCAGGATGATGTGGCAGTGCCACGTCTCACCCTCGGGATGCCGCTGCTACCGCCTCCACGGCTTCTCCCTGCTGAAGCGCCTCCCTCTTTCGGCAGGGGGCACCGGTGTGCGCGGCCTGGACCGGCCCGTCGGGGACTGGCTGGAGCACGTGGGCCTGCCCCAGTACGAGAGCAAATTCCTGCTCAATGGCTTCGACGACCTGCGTTTCATGGTGAGTCCCAATAGCTACCATCTGTAATCCCCCTAACCATTCTCTTTTTCGCCATCCCTCACTCATTACTCTCTTCCCACAAGAGGCCGAGACTCAAATTCTAGTACTTCTAGTAAGAATTCTAGTAATTCTAGTAATTTCGCTACTAACATCCTGCCTGGCATACTCATTTATCATACCTTCCAACTTGTCTCCTGAAAAAGTTGTGTCCTTGGGAATTAACTATAAGGGAATTAACCTACCCTGCATAGAACCTAACCAGCCTAGAATCATCCCAGACCCATCATTTTCTACCCAGTACCCTGTGAGTCGGTGCCGTTCACATAATTAACATCAGACACTTTTAACCAGCAGCTAGTGCATCAAATTGATTTACTGGGACTGAGGAGCAGCTGCCAAATTCTTTAAAGATCTCATTACTGAAAATCTGTCCAAAGCAGAGAACAGCTACAGTTTCCACTGGATCTCTCCGCTAAGATGTAGTGGCCCGTGTTTGTGTGTTTATTTCTAGGTGTAGCCTAAGTGTTACTTTGTCATAACACATCATGTTTTTGTTTATTGCACTTTTGTTTTTAACTGAATGCGACTGGTTAGCCAGCTAGCAGTTTTCGCTTAACTCTGGAAAGTCTGGCATCACAGACCACATGTGTGGGTGCAGCTGATACAGTTTGTGTAGATCAGTGTTTCTGAAACCAGTCCTCGGGGGACCACCAGATGATCCAAGTTTTTGCTCCCCCAGTTCCGTTCTGTCGGGAGTTGGGAAGGAGCAAAAACATGGAGCATCTGGGGGCCCCCAAGGACTGGTTTCAGAAACTTTGGTGTTGATTGGTTTCCCAGTTTAAAACATAAAAAAACTAATGGTCAGCGTGTGGCTGTTAGCGCAGGTCACCGCGCGCAAAGTTTACCGAGAGGATTATGCAGGGTACCTGTTAATGCTGAACCTGTGTGGTCAGAGCACTAATCCTATGGTGGCTTTGTGTGGGTTTCAAAGTCTACTGGCAGGGCTGGGCTGGCCATCTGGCATACTGGACATTTTCCCGACGGGCCAAGGGGTATGTGGGCCAGCAATTGTGGGGAACCCCCCGATTTTTAATTCCAGTCCAGCGCTGACTACCATCTTTCAAGCAGTGGTGGATAGTTCAGGTCCACAAAGTAAAAATCCAGATCAATATTTTGTTTCAACCAACCAGTTGACTATAAAGAATCACAGTCATTCACCACTCAACTGGTTTTACTGAGGGAACAGTTTTTCTGAGGGAATCCTTAGGCTAATCCCACCGATTTCACTTTCCCCCTGTGGCATTGAGGTTTTATGTCTAAAATGAGTTGGAAAATCCATCTGCTATGCACATCTTCAAGACTGAGGCCACAGCTTCCTATTAAAGGTCACCACACTCACTGAGTGAGGGGGATTTCCAGAGGCTGCTAAGCAAGACTGCAGAATAGTTCCTGCCTGAGGGGACTCAAGACGCACATTGAAAATATTCTGATTTTCAGACCATGAAGGTTCTTTAACAAAAAAAATCAGTTTCAGTCCAGCACAATCATCATCACCCAATCCTGTCCTGCCCCTTCAGACTCTCAAGCTGATATCTTTCACCCAAAGAATGAGCCTGGTGTTAATTAGACAGATAATCCTCAATATACAAAGAAGGCAATTACAGCTCAAATGGGGGAATAAACTCAGGGAAGGTGTTTAGTTGGACAATCAATATTTTCAAAGGTAAGAAGATTTTAAAGATTTAAATTTAGAAGAAAAAATAAAAACCTCCCTTTCTGCTACAATCGCTCTGGCATATTATTTTGGCTTTTGCTACAAGCTGTGTTTTATTTCCCTCCCCGCACAGCACTTTTCCGGTATGGGATGAGAGGTCCGTGATGTTGCCGTTGGAACGGGAGCCTCGCAGCAGGGGGTTCTCAGTAAATCTCACTCTGGTTTCCTTCAGGTCTATGGGATGATGTAGCCCTAAAAATCCAGGGGATGCGGGAACACTCAATCCTAACAGTGAAGCCTTCTTCTCTTTCCTGGTCTATTATCTAACCTTTCGCTGGATTCACCACACAAGCTTTTATCTCGGTTTCATTGTCTGTTAAGTAATTGTTGATACAGCAACTGAGCATCTGGTCATATTGCCTTAGTACGTATACTTGAAGTGTGCCAAAGTTTAATTTGAGGGTTGCATTATGGTATTTTTGAACGGTGATCCTATTACAATTGAACATCAGTTGATTTTATTTGAAATGTATAGATCCACCTACATACAGCTGTAAGCTGTGCCTGGGAAATGTTTATTAGTATACGGTTATGTTGGCGAGAAAATATCGACAGCAATAGCAATGCTGGACTGGAAGGTTCTCCCTATTTCATCACGATGATGTCAGGCTGAATGTGGATGTTGAGCAGAAGTGACAGATGTGGAGATGGAAGTTACTTGGGGGTGCCTCCAGGTCACAGGTGCTCTGTGACAGTGTCAGCGAAGGGGAGGGGCTAAGAATGATTTGGGGGTGGGGCTAAGTGTTCATGGGCGGGGTCAAATGGTGGGCTGATTTAGCAAATTTAAGACGGTAAAGACCACGCACTGATGACAGCACGTCGCCGCACCCCCCACACAACAAACCACCTTAGGGACGAGAACCTGAGTACCTCCGTGCGGCAGGTGATACCTCAGAACCACACTAGTCCAGATGGAACAGTGTGTGTGTTTTTTTTGTGGCTGGAGTGCCTATTTCTGCCACCAACCCGCAAATTGAACCTGTAAGTTGGAGGGCCTGCTTGCAGGGCTGCATGTAGATTAACGTCATGCCCAGGACAAAGCAATTGCAGTTCAAGGGGCCCAAGGACCTAACAGAGTAGGTCACTCCTGGCATTCAGAGGATTCAAACCAGTGACCTTCTGATTGCTGGCACAGATCCCTAGCCTCAGAGCCACCACTCTGCCAAATTTAAGGCTTATGATCATATCCAAATCTGGTACGAGGCTGTTCAGCATTCCTCAAGAATGAAGACTCCCACACTGACTCATACAGTGACTCTTAACTCTGTCCCATATTTCTGGCACCCAACTGGTTACTCAGCTTTTAGTATTAATTTGGGGGAGGTGGTGGTGCAGTGGTTAGCACTGCTGAAGCACACCTCTAGAAGCCAGGCCACAGTCCCACACATGCAGGGTATGCATGTTCTCCCTGCAGCAGTGGACTTTCCTTCAGGATCTTCAGTTCTCCCCTACAGTCCAAAAGCATGCTAAGGTGATTTGTGAATGTTGTGTGTGTGCCAGCAGTGGGTTGGAGCCCCATCCTGGGTTATTCCCTGCCTTGCACCCATAGGCTCCAGACCCCCATGGTGCTGCATAGGACAAGCAGCTACACAATATGTATAAATGGAATTAGGATTTGCATAAAGTAAAGGGGGGAAAAAACAATATATATATATATACTGTATATATATGTATTCACTCACGTCAGCTATCCGGCGCATATTTCATGTGCTTAATGGTTAGGGAAGCAGACTTGTAATTGAAAGATTGCAGGTTCGAATCCCCGACCAGCAAGACGTCTCTGAGGTACCTCCCCTGCTCCCCGGGTGCTGAATTAGCTGCCCCCTGCTATGTCACGATGTCACATATGGGTTAAATACAGAGGGCACATTTCATTGTGGTGTGTCGACACTGGTCACTAAATTCTTCATTATACTGCTCTTCTTGTGATATACTTCCTTGTTTAAAAGTCCAGCAACATGGTGACAGATTTTCATTGACCCTCTAGCAGCATCATTCAAGAATCCAGGTCAGCTGATTAATTATTTGTTCTCTCACATAATTTATTAAGAGAACTGAGTCAAAAAGAGATTAAGTAGCCCAAAAGTCCAGCATATATTAAAGTCCCACAAATGGAGTGGGGGTGCCAAATGGTAACCCATGGCAACCCTTGCAAACGTAATGTAGAACAAACCAGGATGTGGCCTGGATATGGGTGATTCCAGCATATCCACTATCATCAACAGATATGGAGACGGTTATTTTTAGGTCTTAGGGTGGGAAAACTCCAGTAAAAGAGGGTGCTGATGAATGACTCACACCTGGCCTGTCCCTCCCACCAGCCTGATTTTGGGGGACTCTCATGCTGTGCTGCAGGTTTCTGCATGGCTCAGACAGTCCTGCAATCAGGAACCCCCCCCCCACCCCTCCACCATCTTGTTGACACTTAGGAAGCCCCAGCAGCGTCGATGAATGACACTGATGCCTTTTGTGACTGTTTGTGCGATTTTTCAGTTCACCGACATGCGTGGAACAGGGACTTTATTCAGTTTACAGATTTTATAGAACCAAGGCAACCAAGACAAATGGCAGCCATTCTGGCCTTAGTGCAAGGGTGACAGGAAAAGAAAATGGGAGGGGCTTGAGAAGGGTGCAAATCGGGTGCAGGATTGGGGGGCACGGTATGGGGGTATGGCTGGGGGTCAAGGAAGAACGAGAATTTCAATTTACATCATTAGTAATTGGGTATAGGTGTTTGAAAGGGCTAACTCTGATGTCCACATTCCCTCCCCCACTATCTTACAGACACTTTTGAGATAATATTACCATCTTAAGAGGGTAAGGAGGTCATTCTATCAGTGCAGAACAAAATTACTTCTCAGAGAATTGTGATATCAAAGTGTGACCGTGGTAATAATTCCTACAATTTTCTCCTCCGCCAGCCAAGGCAATCACCGAAGTAGCCCACCAGGGGGCCTCACGTGATGAGATTGTGAACAGACTGCGTCCTTTCTTGTGCTCAAAGTCAAGGGAGATTAATTGAGTGGAAAAATGCTGCATCGCCCATTGCTAAGGCTTCGATGGGACAATTTCATTACTCCATATGCCATGCTGCGCCCCTTTGTATTCCAGGGCAGGGAAGATTGCAGCTTGAGGTGTGCATCTTTCAAAAGATAGACTGTGGGTTCCTTGTGCCTCCATTTATGAGGATACAGCCCCAGAACTTGCATTGGTTTGTTTTGGTCACCGTGGCGACACGGGACGGAATTGGGTACCACATGTCCCAGCAGGAAGTTAATTCTGGGAAATGAAGATACCAGCCATTTTACATGCACCGCCTCTACTAAACACAAGTGTTCAGGGGCTGAACATGTGGGGTACTAAACACAAGTGTTCAGGGGCTGAACATGTGGGGTGGTCTGTTTTCATGAGAGAAAACAAAAGACTGTTTTATAACAATAATAATGGGCAACAGGCAAATCAAGGGGCCAGTCACCTGACTTTGCCCCACCCCTGACAGTCACCTGACTTTGCCCCGCCCCTGACAGTCACCTGACTTTGCCCCGCCCCTGACAGTCACCTGACTTTGGTGTCACAGCCGTTCATCCGCAGGCACCAGGCGAGCTGGAGTTACTCACGTGTCTTGCCAGGGACGCTGTGGCAGATGCCTGCGGCTCATGGCTACCAGTGTTGTGGTTCCCACGGGTCAACGCGGAATGCATCTCCTTCGCCACTCTGCCATTTTTCACCCTACGCCGGTCTGCTGGTCAAATCGATTTGCTGCCCGTCGGTTCTGCCTGGAAGCAGCTGGGGGGTGTTGGTGTGAATGGAATTGGAGATGATTCCAGCACCTTTCAATTCTCTCTCTCTCTCTCTCTCTATAACACTCATGTTTGCTTGATGTTTTCTTCTTCTTATTATTATTATTATTATATCAATCATATCAGAATGGTCGATGTTTATTTTGATTACAACTAGATTACAATCTGACGGTCTTACATGTTAATGCTGGAAGATGTCCTTAAGTAGCTCATTTTGTGTATTTTGCCGAAGGGCCCAGTTGCATGACATGTCTGGCATGAAGCCCCCTTGCAGTGCACGGTACGCCACTCTGTATGTTACTCCGTACCGCACATATCTGCGCGTGAGCATGACGCACACAGCTATTTTTTGCGACTGCAGGGCAGCAATGTCATGGAGGACCAGGACCTTAGGGAGATAGGCATCATAGACCCAAGCCACAGGAGGAAGCTCTTGAACTCAGCACGGTCATTGCCAAAGGTATACAACGTCCCCCCCCTGCTCAGGCCAGAACCTCTCTCTCCATAGCCCCCTCTTTTAGCTGTTATAAGAACGGCAAACAAAGCTTTCTTTAACAACTCCGTGTTCTGCTATCAGAAGTGGAAAATTGAAGTCTAGAAAATAAAAATCCAAACCAAGATTTTGTTTCAGTCAGCCAGTTGAGTGCTCTGTGAGTGTGGATTCTTTATACTCAACTAGTTAGTCGAAGCAAAATCTTGGTCTGAATTTTTACTTTCTGGACCTGAAATTTCCACCTCTGTCTGCTAGACATGACAGCCAGAGAGTTCTGCTCCAAATTGGCTGGTGTGTGTAGTGCTGTGTATAATTAGGCCTTTGCCCTGATTGCCTAAAATGATCTACTTATGGGTGCTGTTTACAGAGGCTGGACCTTTGCACGATTTCTTTGCTATGCACATTGATGCAGCTTCACATTTTAATGAACCATTTTGCTCAAGGGACCTGTTAGCACTGAACATCTGTATGTACACATTCGAGTGTCATTTTCTCAAGAGGGACACTTAGCAACTCAGCACTTAAGTATTTACAAGCTATATTTGTGTGCATGTGAGCGTGTATGCACGTGTTGGACTCAGCATCGCCCCCTACAGGTGAAGGCCTTGGGTTGTGATGGCAGCACTTCGCTCATTTCCTGGCTGGATACGCTTGGCTTGCAAGCATACCTGCCCAACTTCCTGTCTGCCGGCTACCACACCCTGGACTGTGTCAAGAACCTGTGGGAGCTGGAGATGATCAATGTAAGTGCAGCATGCCAGTGGGCTTAAGGGAAGTGCTCGCCCTGAAAGATAAAGGCGAACGGCCAGGGATCAGATTACTGTGCCTGAAAGGTCAATCCATATACTGACTTGTAAATACAAACGAGCTGAATAATTAATGCATAATGATCTGAAGAAATAATACATCACCGGTTGGTATCCATGGGACCCATGAATGTTTACCTGCTTGTTGACATGTTTGTACATTCATGCCTCCCCACGTGTCCCTGTTGTACCACCAGGTACTGAAGATCAATCTGCTTGGCCACAGGAAACGCATCATTGCTTCGCTGGCAGAACTGCCCTATGAGGAGACTCCCGCCAAGCCTTCCCGTCTCTCTCAGATTAGGGTCAGTGGCTCTGGACTTAATATCCGACGCAGTACCTACACCGGGTTCACCGACACAGCGGAAGCGGCCGCTCTCAGGGTCTGAGGAGCACTGGCCGTGACCTTGGCTCTCAGAGCCCGTCTGGAGGACAGTGCTGACATCTCGGGACGGGACTCAGTGTCTCATCTTGTCATTTCCTTTTATTAATGGTATTTTTTTTTGCCTATGTGCAAAATAATGAGAGATAATGGTACAGATCAAAAATGGATGGTTGTATATATATTCTGAAGATTACATTTATTTATTTTGCAGATGCATTTGCCCAAAGTGACTTACAAATGAAGCAAATTATTGCATATATTCTGAAAGTTGTTTAAAATAACTAAGATAAAGATTGTGGGTTTACCATGCTGATGACTCCTGAAGTGACTCACACCTGTCTGTCTCATCTTCCTCCCGCGTCCCAGTGTCAGGAGCTCATCTCCCAACCCTCCTCCCCCCTCAGCTACATGGACTCCTACGCCAGCCGATCCATGGACCACCTGCTTCCCGGGGGCGACTCGGCCAGGAGGAGGAGGAGCGACCGGGAGCAGACCCCCTCCCAGCGTTCCCAGAGCGAGAGACCCCGGTCCCATGTGAGTCTCTGACCTGTGCATGGAGCAGTCACAGAATGGGGGGGGGGAATCATTATATTCACAACAACGGCAGGATCTTTTTTACTGGAAGAGTAATTGAAAGATGGATGGATGGACAGATGGATGTATGGATGGGTGGCTGGGTGGATGGATAATAATTTAAAAATGACAATTGTGCATGACCTGGTAGCTCAGTGGGTTGGAATTTGACCTCCAGGGTTGTATTCCTTAACCATTATGCCACCTACTGGCAGTTTTGCTTTATGCCTAAAGCATACAGATTTTAACAGCATGTCATAGACGTCCATCAAGCCGGTGTCCTTTAAACCCTTGGCCACTTCCGCTACGTCTCTCCCAGGACAGGCAGCTTGACAGGCAGCTCGAGCGACAGAGAGAAGGCCGTCTGACCCTGCGCCCCCCCAGCCAGTCGACGCCTTTTGCCCCTGCCCCTGGGTGGCACCACCAGCCCGAGAAGCTCATCTTTGAGGCCTGCGGTTACGAAGCCAGCGTAGGGATCCTCCGTCAGTCACTTCACTCAGAAACAGCAAATCGAGGCACCTTCTCATTGCCTGTTCACATTACTTCTGCGGTAGTTGTCATGGTTTGCCCCGTGTCAAGGCTAACTTGACGCTCTTCGTGGAAATTATTTATGTTTTCACATTTTTGTCACACAGTAATACAAATTTTAGCTTTTACTATGATGCATTACATTGGAAATGGAATCATTAAAAGGGTCCTTTTCATGATGATTTTATATTGCGTGGCTGTAAGATTTTTAAAAAAACCAAAACACTTCTTCGCGGGAATGTTCTTTTAGAATGAAGATCTCAAAGAACATCTCGACCACTATCTGCTGATCTCTGTTGGTTTTTTTTCTGTCTAGTACTTGGGGTCGATGGTCATTAAGGAGCTGAGAGGCATTGAATCCACCCAGGAAGCCTGTGCCAAAATGAGGGTAGGTCTTATCTTCATGCTCCACAGCCTTTGCAGCAATACAGCTCCTTCCTAATAAATGCCTGCTATATGACCGAAGATCAAGCTGTCGAAAAGTGAGGACCGGAAACAACATTTAGCAATAATGAAATGATGGCTTTGCACTTAAAGAACAATTATAATGAAATTGTGTCCTTTCATTTTCTGTTGGTCATATTTATGATGCTGTGAATCTACACCAAGCAATTATCTTGCTTTAGTAAGTAATAAAATGAATAAGATCTGTGTTTTTGTGTTGCATTTCCTAGCATATGGGTGACTGGCAAAAGCTGGCCGTATCACACCTTGCCTGCTGGGTGTTTCGCCATGATTCATAACATTTTTTTAAGCTTTTAATAGCACCAAATTATTCATTAGAACCTGAATTCCTCTGCCACGTCTCTGCTTCTCTGACTCCTCTGACCATTTTCTGCTCCTTGTCTCTCCTCAGAAGACTGCTGAACAGAAGAGGAAGGTCCCCACCATTGTCCTCTCCATCACCTACAAGGGGGTCACGTTCATTGATGCAGCCACTAAGGTGGGAGACATGCCCCCGGGTTTTTCCGTATGGGGGGTAATTCAGCTGAAGGGTGGGAGATGTTGGTCTTGCATGATGTGATTCAGGCCTGCTCTGTTGCTCCTCCGTTGGCTAAAATGCCAATAGTGCAGCTGTGTGCTTTTTCTGAGTAAGTGCTCATTTGCACAGCTGTGTGCTTTTTCTGAGTAAGTGCTCATATGCACAGCTGTGCGCTTTTTCTGAGTAAGTGCTCATATGCGCAGCTATGTGGTTTCATTGTTGGTGTTTCCAAGCCAGCTTTGTGGTTTATCTGCTAATAAGCAAGTATGAGCAGCTGTTTGGATGCCCCTTGATTAGGGAGGCCAGATATTCTTTTATATGTCTGACATCAACAGAGAGGGATCAGAGGAAAAATCATTAACGCAAATAAATGCAAAAACATGCATATGTTGCTTTTCCGAGAAACACTGCATAAACATTTACTATGGACAAACTCACTGCATTTGATAGTGCATAAACATTCACTATGGACAAGCTCAATGCATTTAATAGTGCATAATAATATACTACGGACAAACACAGTGCAGTTAATAGTGCATAAACATGCACTATCATGGTATTGGTTTGAGAGAATAGAACACTTGCCGCAGCCCCTGACTGAAAAGGCATTTTCTCTTGTGCGTGGTTAATTTGACAGGTCCATGGCACGGATTACTGTCCTCATCTCTGTATTTTCCTCATCCTCATATTTTTTCTTGGCAGATGGGAATGCCTTCAGGCCATACCCACACCGCTTGGGAGTATAAATGACCAATTGTGGCTGACGGCCTTTATTGGCAGCCGTACGAGGCAATAGAGGGTGCGGCTTTTCCTTCGTGTGATCCGTGGTTTGATGTGTGCGTTGGCTGAGTTATGTCTGTTGCCATTAAAAACTTTTTTAGTTGGGCAGTATTTCAAAACTGGGACACATTGTTCAATTATTTCTTGGGACACATAGCTTGAAATTGGGACTGTCCCGGGCAAACTGGGATGTCTGGTCGCCCTTCCTTTGATGTTCTCCAAGTCTGCTGAGGGCTTTCCCTCAGCTCTGTGGCTCTTATGCAATATGGCAGCTGTGTGGTTCTTCCTCCTGGGATTCAAAATCCTATGGCTGAATCATTACATAGCCCTGATCTTACATGTGCTTTCCATACTTATGTGGTCAACTTGCTGACAGAAAAAACAGGAGGAAATAATGAATTGTTGAAAACGTGTTACTTTAGTTTTGTCATTTGTCACATCCAGAGTGGAAAATGCAAGTAACATAAACGGCTTTGGGGTGCGTTTCCTGAAACCTTCTTAACGCTCCGTAATTCATAAGCTCTAATGCTCTAATGTTCTTAGTTAACTGTATCTCCCGTAAGATATTCTTTCAGAAGTTTGGTCTGAGCCCCTATTAGCCATCTCTTGTTGCTGTTGTTGGCTCATACTGCTCATTTATATTAAGACTAACATTGTTAAAGGTACAGTTTCATAACCAAACAACACTTAACTAAAAAATAACTGATCCATATCATAAAATGATTTTGTCTGATACATGACTACAGTCTTTGTTAGGTTTTCTCCTTGCGCTTCGAGTGCGTAGCGAATTGGCCTCAGTAACACGTGGATTCATAATGAAAGATAAGGAATGCACTGTTGATTATGTATTTATTTATTAATTGGGAGGGAAGGAAGGAAGGAATGGGGGGTTGTGCCAATATTGGAGTGGACGCTTTTCCCCTATTTCCGACACCTTTGGAATGAATGCACACGCCTCTCTAAACGCGCCACATGTCACAGTACATCATGCAGTTGATGATAGTCGACACTGCAGGTTCTTTTCCATATTTCTGAAATATATTTCCCTGGAATAGTCCTTAATAGTCAATACTGAAGCACATAGCTCATCCCAATTTCACCATTGCTTGTCCAAATATCAATGACATGCACACATATTGGTGCATGCAGGTGTTTTATATGACAAAGAAAAATAAACTGGTGATACTACAAACTGGGGTGGCGGGTTCCTGCACCCAATTGGCGAAAATCATATTTATGGTTAGATTATACAATTTGGTAATTTTATATTTTATTTTTAGCTTCTCTCCAGTTCTCCAAAAATTCAAAGGATTCCTGCAGTGTTGTATTTATAAAGAACACCACTTTCTCTCACGTGGCAGTCAAGCAGTTGCTGCGTGGAAGGAATAATCAATTCTTGTCGATGTCAACAGGTGTTCTGGCACATTTTAAAGTCACTCTGAAGCAGTTCTCTCTTAAGCAATCTCTTAACAGATTGTTTGGGAATCAGACGTAGGAAAAGAAATACCTTTCGTAAGATATATCTTTAGAGTCTTCGTAAGACACTGAGTCATCATTATTGGAAAACGCACCCCTGGTCATTCATATTGGTTTAAATGGTCTAAAAATATCACCCAAAGTCCTCCCAAGACGAAAAGTGTTACAATCCACCAACTCTTTTTTTTCCCAGAATGTTTTTTTACAGTATCAAAGAAAATCAGAGGCAGTTATCTATCTGTCTGGCTAATCAGAGGCAGTTATCTATCTGTGTATCTCCTACTTGAGATGAATGGATATGGTGCCTGGTGTGACAGGCATAGGGTCTGATTGGGATTCAGAGTTACATTTATGACAACATGGTTGTGGATGAACCCCTAAAGGGCCAATCGCAAACTGTGAAGGCAGCCACGACTGCAGGAGCATGAATTAAATGAGTAGTAAGAGTGTCTGTACACCTTTGAGCTAGCGAATGAACGTATCTCTTCCTTGGCAGAGCATAATCACGGAGCATGAGATCCGGAACATCTCCTGTGCGGCCCAGGACCCCGACGACCTGTGCACCTTCGCCTACATCACCAAGGACCTGCAGAGTGGCCACCACTTCTGTCATGTCTTCAGCACAGTGGATGTGGTGAGCACCGCTGGTCCCTCACCAGGGAGAACTACAAGCTCCTGCTGATGCCAAAAGAAATGCTATATTAGTATTTTAAAAACAAGAGTTGATACTAGGGCAGCACTGGATGAGGACAGTTCCCAGTGCATACCTGGTTTTGCGCCATGGATACATTTTTTACCCCACAGCCATAGATGCCCTATTCTTCCCCATTACTGCCTCATTTGCCCCCCTTATATTGCCTCATCAATCAATCAATCAATAAATCTATTAAACTAAACTATTAAAAAAATGAAACAAAAACCAATATAATCAAAACTCAGTGTTAAATGAAACGAAAAGGCAGTGTAAATGGTCAAACAAACAGGCAAATGTTATAAGAACAAACAACTCAAAGGATACAATCCAGTAGTGCCGTATGAAAGGCAAAAACAAATATGGATGTTTTGTTCTGTTTCGTATGTGCACTATTTCATCTTATACCCAGAAATTCCATTTTCTGCACCGTTATTGCTTGACTGTATGCTAATAATTGCCATTGATGCCTCGTTTTGCCGCATTGATGCCTTGTTTTGTCCCTTGGATGATCTGTTTTGTGCCTTGGATGTCCTGTTCATCATTAATTCATGGGACTGAAGTAATTCATGTCCTGTTCATCATAAATTCATGTCCTGTTCATCAGTCTCCTTCATCATAAATCCCTTAGTCCTTGTGCCACCTAAGTTCACCTTTTTTTTGTGATAACATGCTTTCTCAGGGTAGTCCCTGTCTTTACTCCACCTCCCAATGACACACACCACTGACCAGAGGCCTCTTCACACAGAGCCTGACCTATGAGGTGATCCTGACGCTGGGACAGGCATTCGAAGTGGCCTATCAGCTGGCGCTCAAGGCCCAGAGATCGCAGCAGCACCGGATCCCGGCGACATCATCATCGGACCTCATAGAGACCCGGTCCAGCCAGTCCATGCCAAAGCCCAGGAGTAGCTCCCGGAAGTCGCCGGTGAGTGGTGACCCCTGAACACGCACACACAGACACGCACATATGCATACATATCTTTATGGGGACCGTCCATTCATGTCTATGGGAAAAACCCTAATACCAGTAATAACAACCTTAACTGCCACCGAGTCCTACCCTTAACCATAAGTAACCAAAGAAGATTCAAGACTTCTGGCATGTTAATTTTTTGATTGCAGTCAGAGACTTTTATAAAATTGATTTTTTTCCTTGTGGAGACTGAGAAAACAGATTTTTATCACATTGTGGGGACACTTACACATGACATGACAAATATGCATGACCACACACACACACACACTCTGAATGCGCACACAGACACCCTTGTGAATGTAATGTACACGTCTTTACACAGTCCTGATATCAGTCATTGTCTTTGCTCTGCAGCGACAGCAGTTCACTATAAAATGCTGACGCTAGTATTTGGGAGCAGGTTTTATGAATGTTTATGATCCGGTCAAGAGAAATCAGGACTTTCCTGATGGAATATGAGGTGACAGGATGGAAGGTCTACCTCAGTGGCAAGAATGCTAAGCTCATCGGATCCTTTAATCATGAGATGTTCAGTTTAATCTCTGTTTACAGATGTCTTTGTCGGCAAATGGCTTCACTAAGCTGGAAGTTGTGACTCTGAATATTTCTGTACCTAGGAGATGATAAACTAGCATCAAATGTTGGGGGCAATTTACTCATTTTAAACTCACAAAAAGGTAATTTTATTTATTAAACAGTGTAAGTACTGACGTGGTTTCAGGATCTGTTAAGGCTTAGGCAAAACCACAGAGATGCACAACAAAGGAAATGCCATTTACTTTTTACCTTTTTCTTTTCACCTTGTCCTACTAAACTAGTTTAAATATGTGTTGACAGGTTTGAGAAATTAGAAATCAAAAAATGTAAATTGAGAGATGTAAAATATTCCGATAGAATACGAATCTGCAGATTCTACCTCCGCGTGAGGTCATGTTATAGACATGTGCTTATGAATGCTCATTCAACATGCAAAGAAGTGTTTTCTTTAATGCTTTTGGCCACAAAGATATTTGTCTCACCCAAATCAACACAGAAATTCTAGGAATTCTAAGTTTAGTGCAACATTGGTGCCACCTGAAGGTTGCTAAGGGCAACTGCATCTGATATGAACAGTCACTTTTACATGTGAGCCTGTGCATATCCTACCCACACAAGAGTATGTTCACTATTTTTTCCACACAGTTAGTGAACGGTACCTGGTGTGCATTCAGCTAAGTGTCTGTTTCTCTGTCTGCCGTCTCTCCTTTCCTCTCGCTCTCACACACTCTTGCTATTCGCTGCCTATGTCACCCTTTACACTGTGTGATTACGAGGGTGTGTAGTGTTTTTTTTTTTACTTGTACTTCCTGGGTATCTTTCCATGAACGGCTGACCCAATTGTCTAAAACGGATCTTGCTATCTAGGCCGAAAGTGCATGAATTAGGATATTCTCAGGAAGCTCGGCGGACTCCCAGTGGGTCAGGAGTGGACGATCCTCAGTAGATGAACAGTTTCTGCAAAATGTTCCTCAGCTGTGGAGCATTACACATGTAGCAAGGAAGGGACATCTTTTCAATTGAATTTAACGCTTTCAAACGCATGAGCTCTTCTGCTCCTGAATCCTTTCTGAATGTCGATGCCGAAGAGGTGACTGTAAAGATGTTAAAGCTGCTTATTCTACCTGCTCATGATATTAAACGAAAAAGTTGTCCAGCAATCCAACTGGGACCTGTAGTTTGCTGAGTCCTTAATAGTTAATTAGCCCAACTTATTAGATGGAATGTTCTAGTGAGACAATAGACCAATAGATGGGAATGTGCATTTGTGTGTCATATGTGACACCCTAGAGCCCTCTCTTGGTTTAGTGAGTACCTCAGTTAGTGACCGTTTGCAAATATGACATTGTTATAAAATTTGATTCCAACCAATGTGCGCATTTATGACCAAATTTAGTATGCCTGACTACAACGCACAGCAGAGTGAGAGTAACTCTTGTGTAGCTGTATGAGAGCTTTATCTGAATGAGACAGTCGCGGCCACGCTTAACCTACCATGATTTTCATTTAGCGACCTTTTTGTTTAATGTCCTGGTCATTGGATTGGAACTCAGTCACTAACCAGGAGAGGGTGTAATACAGTCGTGCTGAGTGAACTGAATGTAACATTGTTTAATGAATGAATGGCAGTGCATTGTGCAGCCGATGTCCAATCATACCTCAGCACACCCTCTGACATCACAGGTTAGTAAATTAGCTATCTCTGTCTCTTTACCTCGGGATCCTTCCCTCCAATTTGTTTCTCTCCCAGGATCCTTTGCTGCTAGAGAGCCACTGCTGTCACTGTCACACCTGTACTACCCATCGGCCCTCTCATCTCCCGCTGCGGGCCGTCAGTCCCGGAGAGCAGGTCTGGCTTCTTCTCCTCCTGTTGCTCCTTCACCATTCACCCTCTCATTGCTTTGACCTCCATCTTTTTCCTTTTCCACATCATCATTTTTTTGTGTTTCCTTCTCTGTTTTTCTTTGGTCAAGACTCCTTGATGTTGGATTGCTCCAGCATGTCCGATTATAACCAAGATTACCCACATCCTCATGCTCTCTTTTATCCCCTATTGATGTCCTCTGTTAAGAAGCTGCCCTTCTTTACCTTGGTTCTTTTTTCAGTCTTCTTCCTTTTGTGTATATTCTCTTACAGTAAAGAGCGCCATCTCCTGTTTTTGTCTGTCTTGGCGCCCAGCGTTGTTCCGGGCTGTGCTTTGTGTCTGCATTTCTTGGGGCTGTCTGCTATGTTTGGCTGCCTCAGACAGCCTCGCTTGCCACAGGAGTGAAGTGTTGCTTCCGGAATGTTCTCTCAGTTACTTTGAGTCCAGATGGTCGTCTCTGTCTGGTGCCCTGCTTCCTCTCCTGTCCTCTGTCGGTCCCCCTTTCTCCTCTGGCACTAACTTCTTGCTTGTCTGCTTTCTGAACGCTTACACCGCCCTCGGCCACCTCCCACCTCGCCCCCGCACCCATGTCTACAGTTATTCAAGGAAAACACGTGGAGAAACACCTCCTTCTGGCCAAACCCAAAGTGCCTTTGTCCAGTCTTTTATGTCGCGAACAGGGCCGCGCCAGCGACATAGGCCTAGGGCACCAACTTCTGAGGGGGCGCTGACCTGCCAGTCAATTTTACTTTGCCTCAGATAGGGGGCGCCGGTGGTGATGCTCGCCTAGGGCGCCATATTGGTTAGGACTGGTTCCGGTTGCAAACATCAAACTAAAATATATCTTATGTATATATGCATAGTAAAGCTGTTTCTTTCTCTGAGGTTCAGTTCCACATAAAAAGCGCAATATGGATTTGTATAAATCAAGAGTGGACAAATCCAGCAACATCACGATTTCCAAGGTTCAGAGGGTTACAGCATCATGGAAATTGATAATTCTGGGCTTGTTCTGAGCTGAGAATCTTCCGTGTGGAGATGGCTGGCCGTTGTTTATACTGGAGGCCTTTAGGTATGAGAAACTTACAAAAAATGTTAAATAATTCCTACAATCATAATTTCCTGACTCAGTGAATGAGTGTTGAATTCCTATGTCTCTGTCAAGCCTAACTTTTAGTGGATTTTCCCTGAGATGTGTGGAAATCTCCCAGCAACAGCCTTGAAGTGACTTGCAATCTTCCTGCAATCTGATTGATCGGGCAGGAAAGCAAGTTATCACCATCATCCAATCAGATGTGACTTCCACTACAATTGAACACATGGAACATTTGTGCTGCTGCATCGCATGTGGAAGTAATGAGGATACTTGCGATGGCCACCAACTGTCCATCCTCGACTCTGATGTCCTACTCTCCCCTCCCCCCCCTTCCCCACCCCCTCATCCCAACCCCCCCTCCCCCAGATGGACCACGTAGACAAGGCAGCGGAAACACAGTCCTTGGGCAGTGGCACATGGCTGACTGAGCAGCAGGACCCAAGCAAGCCCACCCCCAGCACCAAGTATGAGACCACCATATTCTGAAAGCCTCAGATTCTGCTCCTCGCCCCACCTCCTTTCACTGTGACCCCTCCCACCCTCGGATGACCTTCTCCAAACCTCCAGCTGAGCTCATGCTAACCCGCTTCATTGGCACTTCTGTACACAGAGCGCATCACTGAAGAAATCCTTGGCAATAATCTGGATTTTGCTAACAGAAGCTCCGCCCCCTTTAAACTGCCCCTCCCATTATTATTTGGGCACTCCAATTTGAAAAAGAAAAAAAAAAAACAGTTTTTGAATGAATTTCGTCACATGATTGGTTGCAGATTTCCTGGTGGTGCTTCGTAGTTGTGGACATGACACCCCATTTTAGAACAAGAAATCAAGACGCTGGAACCTTTTTCTTGCCTTTTGTACAAGTAGCACATTGGAAATTCTTACTCGATATCAGAAAGCTGATGTTCCGCACTCATGCAACGTCTCACGCCATTTGGACACTGGAACTGAGACTTGCTCTGTGTGCTCAGCTCTAGAGTGTAGCTTTCATTTCTACTGTGAATGTTTAGATACCAAAGCAGCAGATTTCCCTTTTTCTGATTGGTCCTCTCCGTCTTGTAGTGACAGGTAGCCTGTCGGACCTTGCTTTACGCTCTGTTCTTGCTCTTCCTCCAGTGTTGGAACGTTTTTAAGGACTCGCTCTTGGTTTTGCTTCCTTCCTTATTGGAGCACGTTCCACTGTGATGAGACTTCATTTAGAGCTTAACTGCTGCTGAACCATAAAAATTCACACAAGAGGCACAACAAACCCGTGTCGAACATTTCTGAGCTATAGTCTAAGACAATAATTCCCAATCCGGTCCTCAGGGACCGACAGACTGTCCACGTTTTTGCTCCCTCTCAGCTCCCTGTAGAGAGCAAACATGTAGACTCGGAAGGAGCAAAAACATGGACCAGCTGTGGGTCCCCAAGAACTGGATTGGACCTTTAGTTTTTTATAAACATTAGATTAACTTCAGTGCTAATGTTTCTTCCCAAAGTGTTATGCTTATCATGGAATGTCCACTATCTTAAACAAGGTTTAGCATCTTATTTACTGCAGGAGTGACAGAAACCGCATGTTATGCTGAGTGCAGCTTCTTCCTACGGCTCTCGCAAGCTAAAAAAAAAAAACATCTTAGTCTCCATAAGCAGATGATTATGAATGTTATTTGATGCATCCAGTTTAAAATAAACAAGAAAGCACAAAGAAGACCAGGCGGTTTGGACTCTGAAGACCCCAAACAGCTTTGATTTTTGATTGTGGATCTTAACCTTCTGATGTCCAGGTGGCGAGTTTTCATCCACTTACCTTCCAAGATTCTGTCCAGGCTCCTTAAGTTTTATCTGCTCTCTTTGGCTGTGACTCAGGATCTGTCTGTCAAAAGTTCACTTCAGAGGTAACTAAGAATGTTCACTTAGCTTTGGTTCGCTGGATTTGCGTGGGATTCAGTTAAAACTTTTACTTCTATTTGAGCGAAGAGAAATTCACACACTTTTAATTAAAAGCAATGAAGGTGAACCTTGAGTTGCCATTTGCAATACTTTTGATCTCTGTGGACGTGAACAGTTTCTGTAAATCGTGAAAACTGCAAAGCTCTAAGAAGTCTTTGTCAAGCTAAGCTTTCATGGTGGCAAGGATGAAAAGAAAAGCATCAGTTTCAAGTAGCTTTTGAGAACAGGAAATCCAAACAACTGCCCATTTTCTTTTCCAGTCATCAAACTTCCCTAGTTCCAAAAATATACATTGTCATTATTCTGCATATCGTGTCTATTTATTGGGTTTTAACCTGAAATAATTTCTTTTGCCTTCATCGCATACATCTCACATGTCACATCTGATGAGCTGATGAGTTCATGTCCACAAAAGCACTTCCTGTTTTCTGTGTGTGTGCTTGTAAGTGGCCTCCTTTGACCTTAGTCTATATTTTGTTAAAACCTCAGAGCAAAGGCTGCATTTCCTGGGGCGGGGGGGGGGGGGGGGGGGATGATTCGACCCTGACAGGTTCCCTATTTTAACCCACATGTTTTCCTTTGTGTAGCTGGCTCCTGTGTTCAAGTTTCCGGATACCAGACTCTGAGGGGTGATGGGTAACGGGGACTATAGGAAAAGAGGGGGGAGATATGTTGATGGAGACCAGAGATTTAAGGGCACTGTTCCTCCCTCCCCCCACTGCATCCCACCTGCTGAAGCCTTGCCAGGGGGGATCAGCATGGAATAGGGGTTGGCACCTGTTCATGGGTTCACAACAAGGGGCAGTGTATTTTCACTGAAAGAGGGGTGAGACAGAACATAATGCATCCTGAATTTAACACCTCCTGCAGGTAAAGAGACAATAAATTAAGTGAAAGAACTGGAGCAGTTAGCTGTTAGCATGCTTGTGGGAGTTTTACTTGGTTTTAATTGGTTGGCCCGCCTCCTTTAGTTGCTTGGACCCACCTCCTCTACAATCTGATTGGTTATCCCTCTGAACCAATCATCTTTCATTCCACCCACAGAACATTTTTGTGTACGTAAAACTCCCATGAGTTGTTAGCATGCCCAAATAGACAATGCGATGTTCAGACCACAAGTGTGCTCAACATGACCAGATCCAAAGTCTGTTCCACTCTAAAGCTCCCACAGTAACTATCAATGCTGAAATTTTATTAACATCTGGGGAAGGGTGACAAGGAATTTACTAATACTGTTTACTAATTATTATATGTCTCACTAACCTCAAAATAGCAATAGATCTACATCTGCACAAGTCCAATGTTTTGCATATGTGATCTTTGTATGGAAGAGGACTCACCCTAGAGGTAGCAGTAAATATGAAGGGATGAAAGTAGCAGTGCAGACAAGTGTCTGGCCAAAGTTGCTGTCAGTTAAAACATATGATAGTTTACAAAATTAACAACTGAAAGAGGGACCACCAAAATCTTAACATAAAATATTAAAAATTTCTTTGTAGTCACCTGCTTTAATTAAAATATACATCTTACAAAGTAGCCATTTATGCCACTTGATAAAATGTGTTCCCTAATTATGAGTTTTGTTTTAATTGTTTTATTAGCACGGAGGCCTGAGAACATTGCCACTACTTTTTCAGTGTTTGGATAAGTCATTAGCATCACCAAAGAAGCTCAAAAGATCTGTCATGAAATTCCAAAATAAACACTCAAGTTGTGTTGTGACAACAAATTCTGCTCTGAATTATGCATAGTTTTAAAACTGTGTTACATTGAGAAATGGTCAGGTGATCATATCAGTACAGTGTTTCACTTTTAACTAATTTTTAAATACCATTTTGTATTTATCTTGATTTTACGGTATTATTGGATATATTTCTGCTTCCCCTAATTTAAAAAAAATCAAGGTCACAAAAATTTGTCATGAGTTTTATTTTTAATTTAAGTTTATTACTCTTTATCACCCTTAGTATTTGAACCTTTTAAACCCGTTTCTTTATCTGACATTGAAATCAGGTACAATAGACAGCATCACTTTGATAACATGAATCTCCCCATAACTGAGCACTTCAGTTCCATTCCCTATTCCAAAATTTTATATCTATGGTACTCCTTGCAAAGCATCCTGGGCCATTTTCACGTTTGCACGACTGAGAACTAGAATGTGAACAAATAAACCAATTTGCAATGTAAAAAAAAACAAAAAACAATAGCTTAAAGGTGATGGATTGTAAACAAAAAGAAAAATGATCTCTAGTGGTGTGAATTTTATACTTGAATGATTCTACTTCCAAACATATTCATGTATGTAACTTCTTTTATGTTACAGATGTAATCACTGAGGCAAAGGAAAGCTTTTTATGTTTTTTTTTTTTTATTAAACATAGCTTGTAACTTTTTCTTCTCTCTTGGTGAAAGAATTAGATCAAAGTGAGAGACAGAACTCAGGCAAACATCAGACCACTTAAAAGATTGTACATATTCTTTCGCCTTGTGTTTTTTCTAATTTTTATTTTTCAAAATTGTAAAACTAATAAATGAAAAAAGGCAACCAAAAATTTGTCTCCTGTTTTAATAACACACTTGCTCAATTTTAAAGATGATTAGCTACTTTTTATAACCTTTTCGATGACCTCGTGTCTTTTGTGAGCTAACAGTGGAAGTGAAAGCCAGTTATATAAAAAATAAAAAGCCGACCTATAACTACGTGAATGAAATTTTTCTATATGATCCAGAAAGAATCCTTGATTATTGTCCAGAGATCCAAGATTATAATGAACAATACTTAACATGTTTAAGTAAATTAGTCTCCTAAACGACTCCCTAAACAATTTCCATTTTTTGTTACCAGCATGAGCAATACTTTGCATTCTCAACAATAAAAAATAAATTCTCATAAAAATATCGATAGGAGGCCGACAGCATTATACTGATATATTAGTGGACTCGTTTTTATTAAAAATCCTTCTCAAATTTATCTGTGGATCACCTAAATGAGCATCAACACCTGGAAGATTGTTCAAATAGATTTATTGATAAAATTCAGTATTGCTGATGTTTTTGGTAAGTGCTTTAGTAAAGTGCAACACCATTCATAAGTGTTTTATGTACAGAAATACCACTTCCCATGAAACCTTATATGAAAAAACCACTCAATAAAAAATGGTTCAAAATAACTTCATGCCTATTTTGAAAAAAAAATAAAAATAACACGACAAAGTCAAACATAAAGGTTAAAAAAATAACCTTATATGAAACAAACACTCATTAAAAATCGGTTCAAAGTAACATAGTAATTCATGCCTATTTTGAAAATTGATTAAACAAAACAAGGATAAACATACAAGTTAAAATATAATGCCCTCACAATATATAATGTATATACATAGATTTTTTTAGGATTCATTCATTATTGTATTTTTCAGATTAAAAATATACAGTAATCAAATCGTCGACTGGTCATGTATAGGAAATGTGTGCTGCCCTCTAGTGTGCAGACTGTGTAATGCCAGAGCATCATCTAACGGGAATCTAGCCCCATCTCTGGTGCCCCCTGTGGAAAGAGCAACTTCTTGAGAATGGAGGAGTAGAATGGGCCGAACACCTGCTGGTTGAAACGAACGATGCGCTGAAATGCCACGCCCAGCTCTGCCAGCTCATGTGCCACCAGAACTAGGGCAGGTGGCACTGGTGGGGCTCCCTGGGTGGTGGGCGCTGCCAGCGTGGCTTTCAGAAAGCCCCGGACACGGGCACCTATAGATCAGGTCAGACAGCCCCAAAAATAAGCCCCTCATTACTTTATCTGCAAAATTACTGTTTACACTTTACAGTATACATTTTTGCAGATTGTACTTACTGAGATTTTATTTTTTATTAATTTCATTCTACCTTCATCAAAGTAGTTCACAATTTTTCTCTTATGTGTACTTTAATCTATAAAATACATTTAACATCTGAAAATTATGAAACAACCCATTTTTCTAAAATACTGTCACGTGATCATGTGGGTGTGGTCTCAAGGGATGCTGACCTATGAGAATACGGACAGGGTCCTGGTCCTTGGCCAGCCCAGCGAGCTGTGCCTTCAGCACCCCCTCCCTCTCGAGTGTCAGTGCTGTCCCTCCTTGGGCCATCAGGACATCGTTCACCAGCTGTTTCACCTGCTCCCCCACACTCAGCAGCGCCCCCTGCATATCGAATCGCCTGAGTTCACAACAGAAGACTGTTAGTTATCCTGAACTAATCAAGTCTCCTGACAGAACAAATGTAGTTTTGAGACAGAGTTTGTAAAATAGGCTCATGGGAGTTTTACTTGCACAAAAATGTCCTGAGGGCAGAAGGAAAAATGATTAGTTCAGAGAGGTGACAAGTCAAATTGTTGAGGAGGTGGGCCCAAGCAACTAGAAGAGGCAGGACCAAGATATCTGATTGGCTGGTCCCGCCTCCTCTAGTTGCTTGGGCCCACCTCCTCTACAATCCGACCCCCTCTCTGAATTAATCATTTTTCCTTCTGCCCTCAGAACATTTTTGTGTAAGTAAAATCCCTGTGTGTCAAACTGAGAAAATAAAACAAATAATAATTTTTTTAATTGATACTCATTTAATGTATTTATTAGAAACTAATCTGAGATGTCTAACATTTAAACCAGTAGACTCCAGCCAGAGGAAAGGCTGGGCCAAAGTCAAGTGGTTTGCATGCTTCCCAGTCCATAGCTCCCTCAGCCTTACCACTGACCAATGGCTACCGTTCATCCAGCAATCACCCCTCCCCTCTTACCTGTTGTGACAGCCCTCCAGAAGGGCAGCAACAGCCTGCTTGAGTTTAACTACAAACCCTGGCCTTGAGAAGACACTCTCCTCACAATGAGTGCTGGTCACCAGCAGAACTGCAGCCTGGAGCACCAGGTGCTGCGTAACCTGCCCCAGCGACTCCAGACGGGCCCGGTCCATCTGAACCGTCTGAAAGAGCAGGGCGAAAGACGCAGGACAGTTGGAAAGCTGTCAGCCGTCTGCTGTTATTTAAGCAGCAGAGTCAATCTGAGAGTCCCCAAGCTGTACACAATATTGAAAATTGACTTAAATATGACACTATTTTTATCTTGCATTTCTCACCAAAATAAACATCTCAAGACTTCAGATTCACATTTTAAATGACATTAAATTTATTTTTACTGAAATGCTGCTGCCCTTGACAAATGTAACAACCATTCCACCTAGCAGTGCTCCCCCTGCAGGCATACCTCAGGATAGCAATGGTTCTCAGAATCCCAGCTCAGGAGACGCATGTATGCACAGGTCAGTGTGGCACTCGGGCTCACCACAAATGTGCTATGGGCAGAACTTCCCTTGGGTGGGACCACTAAGCTATCAGAGGCAAGCTCCTGTGCTGCCCCCTGCAGCCAGGAAGTGGTATTATCCAGGGAATCTGCAAGAACCACACACAATGAATTCTAATTTATTTATAATTTATAACGAGAGTTTAATATATATATATATATAAAATACAATGACATGCAGAAGATCACCGAAAG